TCATGATAATTGTTATAATTGGGATTTTCTCTAATATGATCATTCCCATCTGCCGTTACGTTTCCTAGACTTTCAAAGGAATGAAACGAGGCATAAACATACATAAACTTATTGGAACCCCCCAAAAGATTAAGGAACAGGAAAAAGGGGGAATAATTTAAAGGACAAGCAAAAAAAAAAACAAATGAACAAAAGCAAAAAAAAAAAACGAAATCTAAAACACCTTAATCAATTTCCACAAAGCGAACAATTTACAAATCAGACTATAACAAGAACCATTTGGGAACACAGATTACGGTACGATCTTAACAACAAAAAGTTTTACGTCAACTCATCGAACATATAAAGATACAACGCAACAAGATCGCCGGCGAAAAAAAACTGAAAAAAAAAAAAAGATAAAGTTCGCAGAAAGATAAAATCAATACCTGGGAGGAGAGTGGAAATCCTCAGAAACGGAACCCTAGAAAGAAAAAAAAAAAGGGAGGAAAACGGATTAAAAATGATTTTCCTCAGAAATCTCCCAGGAAAGGGAAATTTTATGCAAGAATCTTAAGGTTTTACAGAGGGCGGCGGAGGGCAATCATCGAAAAATTGGTGATAGAGAAAGCGAAGAGCGTGTGAAGAATTGGAGGGAAATGATGAAACTCCAATCGAATCCAAACGGATCAAATGATAACTCAGATCAAAGCGTCCCTTTTACGGGTTTTTGTCTTTGCCTTTTCATGTGAAATTACCAAAAAAGCCCCCATGGTTTTAATCATATTTATTTCTGCGAAATATATGTTTTATTTATTTTAAAAGGTTCAATTATGATTTTGTAATTAATTTTTGCTTTCTAAAATTTAAAATATGAGACTAAATTTTGACTTTTGATCGTATGTCTATTATTTTACTATAATAAACAAACTTCATTGCATCATCTTCTCCGATTCATCTCCCTCATCTTCCTCGCACGAGCTTCAATCGTCAATGGCGATTCACCTCTCCAATGTCCTCTTCTTCCCAATCACAAACTCACTCCACCAATCCAAACAATCATCTTCTTCACTTCATTTCTCAACCTCAAATCGTCACTTTCGTGGTTTCAGATTATTCAGTACAAGGAGAACACAACGACGACGACAATCGACATACGAAGTAGCTTCAAGAACCAGAGACACATCCTCCATTATTACAGACCTCGAAAAACAAACAGAGGGAGATGAACATACCGAAAACGAATCAGTGGCAGCAGAAATCGCTAATTCCTGGCGTGAAATCCATGGCAGCAACGACTGGACCGGGTTGCTTGATCCGATGAACGATCTCCTCCGCTCCGAGATAATCCGCTACGGTGAAATGGCGCAATCCTGCTACGACGCTTTCGATTACGATCCGTTCTCGAAATACTGCGGGAGTTGTCGATTTAGTCGAAGCAAATTCTTCGAACGACTCGGAATGGAAAGCGGAGGTTACGAAGTAACGCGGTACCTCTACGCAACATCAAACATCAACCTACCGAATTTCTTCAAGAAATCGCGATGGCCAAAAGTATGGAGCAAGAACGCGAACTGGATCGGCTACGTCGCGGTATCAAACGACGGTGAATCGAAACTCCTCGGCCGGCGAGACATCGCCATAGCGTGGAGAGGCACCGTAACGCGGTTGGAATGGATCGTGGATCTAATGGATTTTCTGAAACCAGTAGCGGCGGCGAAGATTCCATGCCCTAATTTGGCGGTGAAGGCGGAATCGGGATTTCTGGCTCTGTATACAGACAAGGACGAAGGTTGTGGATACAGCAAGTTGTCAGCGAGAGAGCAGATTGTGACGGAGGTGAAGCGGTTGGTGGAGAGATTCGCCGGAGAAGAGATGAGCATTACGATCACTGGACACAGTTTGGGAAGCGCTCTGGCGGTGTTGAGCGGCTTCGACGTTGCGGAAATGGGTGTGAACCGGTTGGAGAACGGTCGGGTTGTGCCGGTTTCGGTTTTCTCATTCTCGGGGCCCCGAGTTGGGAACTTCTCCTTCAAGGAACGCCTCCAAGAATTGGGAGTTAAGGTAATTAATCTTAATTAATTAATTAATTAATTAATAATTAGTGGAAATAATAATATTAAAATGAAAACAGGTATTGAGAGTGGTGAATGTCCATGACGTGGTACCCAAGACGCCAGGATTTTTATTCAACGAAAGCGTACCAACGGCTGTGATGAAATTTGCGGAGGAATTACCGTGGAGTTATTCACACGTGGGCGTGGAGTTAAAATTGGATCATAAAATTTCACCGTTCCTCAAGGATACAAACGACCCCGTTTGTGCACATAATTTGGAAGCTCACTTACATTTACTTGATGGGTAACTTTCTGACCTTTTTCTTTTTATCTTCCTATAGTATACTAATTACCATTCATTTTGCTAATTCTATATCATGTGAAATCATCATTTTTAGCTTAATAAATATGTCACATAATTATTTAAATAACAATATCAAATGGCATGTACTTGTTAAAATACCCTTTGATATAAATGAAATAAAAATATAATAAATTAATAACCATAATGCTATATATTTATATATATATATAGATATATATTAAAAGAATATTATCTTCTAGGGTATCTAAAATGATTGAACAGGATAATATTATATCACCAAATTTTCAATATATATATATTAATAAAAAAAATCATCAAGGATTTGGGATATGTTTCTGACATTATTATACTGTATTATTTCTTTACAATATTTGATGAATATATTATATTAAACTGTGACGATAGGGACAATTATGCATTATGATGAATATATTATATTAAATCGAGTTTGGTTGCACGTTGAAGAGAAATGTTTTGTTAAATTACAAATTTTTTTCTAATTTTAATAATTAGATTATTTATTTATTTTAGACCACTTGGGTTTAAAAGTTATTTCAAACTTATTTGAATTGATTTTGGTGAAACAGATACCATGGAAAGGGTCGTAGGTTCGTGTTAACGAGTGGGAGAGATCCGGCGCTGGTGAACAAAGCTTGTGATTTTCTTAAAGATCATTACTTGGTCCCACCAAATTGGAGGCAAGACGAAAACAAAGGTATGATAAGGAATAAGGATGGTCGTTGGATACAACCCGATAGATCAAAATTTGACGATCATCCAGAAGATATACATCATCATCTCAAACAATTAGGCTTAACTTTTGACTCCTAAATCTTATTTTGTTCATTCAAAATTCATATGAAATTAGAAGCCATTTAGAACGTTGTTTCCTTCTTCTTCATTGATATTTGAACAATAGAAGCTTCTAAGATTAGCCACAACGATCGTAATAATAAGATGACAAGTTTGGTTTACAGAGATAAGCCTGATTCTTCGTCCTCCTCGAGAGTAGAAGTGTAAACGATATAGAATGTCCAAATGAAACCAAAAACTCCCAACAGAATCCAACCAAGAAGATTGTTGCTCAAACCAAATGGAAGGCCAGTTCCTTCGGTGCTCAGTCTCTCATCCACCAAAGCCATGGCTGGGCTCGACATGGTCGCAGCACACGCTGCAGCTATCAACGACGCGCCCATCCCCAAGTTGCACGACTTGTTTTCCACTTCTCCATTAGCCTTTCCGTCCACACAACACCTTACTCCTCCTCTCTTACCCAATGCAGGCAACCCTGCTACATATAATTAATTAATTTTTAACCAATTTAAATGGTTACTCAATTTTGAGCAAAATCTAGAACTTACCAAGAAGGAAGGTGGTGGGTGAAGCCGCCGGAAGTGGGCGGTTCTGAACCAGAGAAGAGCGGACGGCGGCGGCAGAGGCGGAGGCGACGGCGGCCATTGGGATCTTTACGTTCAACTTTGGGAGGCAAAATGAAAAATAATGGAATATGGAGATCGGAGATGAAAGGGTTTGTGAAGATTAATATTATTGGTTTGTGTCGATGAGTGGCACTACACACAAAGCTACACACAGGGACAGCCATTCATTTGATATCCTTCATCTACTTCTGCCCAATTGTGAGTCTACACGTGTCATCTCATCTTTCTTTACCCAATTGTTTTCTTATTTTCTTTTTCTATATATATTTGATTATTTCCTATGAAACAAATATGCCTTTGATATTTATTTATTTGATTATGTTCCAGTCGTTTGTGTTTAGAGATATTCATTTTATCAGCAAAGTCCAGACTCTCCGTCAAATGGGGAGAGAATTTTCAGTTTAGACAAAAATTGAGGAAATCACAACACATGGGGTCTGAGTACTAGATTAAATATAAATATGTTTTTTAACCCATACTTTTAATATATATATATATATATTTATTGTTATATTAAAAATAAATAAATTAATTTTAGAGGGTAATTATAATATTTAAATTAAAAATTATATGGTAGATTATTTTAAAGATTAAAAAGCTACTTTGAAAAAATATATTTTTTTTACAAAATTTTAATAAATATTATATTAAAAATGAAAACTTTAAAATAATTATTTTTGTTTTCTCGGCAACAATTAAATGAAAATTTTCATTTTATAAAAAAAAAAATGAAATAAGTAACAGAGATGAACAAAAAAGCTTCCTTGTCCCGCCATGTGGACATCTCTATTTGCACTTATAATAATAATTAAAAAAAATGTTCGTGGCATAAATAGCTATAAAACAAAGAAAAAATTAATTAAAATTATGTTTTTTTCTTTCCTAAGAAAAAATTTATAGTATTACGAAAATATCATATTTTATTTTGAATATTCTTTTAATATGAATAGAACCGGTCCATGTATGAAAAATATTATAATAAATAAAAAGAGTACACATACTCACAATACCTAAAATCTCATACTCGTACTCCGTTCTATATATTTATGTCAAATCTCTATCCTCTTGGTCGAACATATATACCTGAGTACACGTACTGACAATACCTAAAATCTCGTACTCGTACTCCGTTCTATATATTTATGTCAAATCTCTATCCTCTTGGTCGAACATATATACCACGTCAAACAACAACCAAACTTTACAAGCAAGCAAGCCTTCCATTTTATTAAGTATTCAAATTTTGTGGTACTCAAAAAGAATAAACTGTAGTTGACATTACATGAATATGGTACACAAAATAATACAGCTCAAATTGCAACACCACCCTAATTACATTGCTAATTTCCACTCAGATTTGATTCTTGAACCTTGCTGCTATCATTCTCTTTGGTGTTGTGTAGCATTTCTTGTATGCTTTCTGCTAGCCTCGACGCCTCCTCGTCAAATTTCAGCGTTCTTCGCTGCAAACTCTGCATCAACTCGGTGTTTATAGTTCGTGCGTCGATGATTCGATCGTTCAAAATACAATATCAACAGGTATGGTAACACGTACCTCAGATTCCCATAAGCAATCTCTCGCCTTGCGTGGAATTATGTGAATGTGAGTCTGATAGTTTCAAGCTTACACAAAGATCAGCAAAGATTTGTTGTATGTAAGATGAAACTTAAAACGTTCAACAAACTAGGAGAAGATTTGAACTTCTGACATACTGGTCAGGGTTGTAGTTCTTCACTCAATTGAGCTATGCTTAAATTGGTCGACTAGAATTTAGCTTAAATGCACATGTTTATGGGATTTTACCGATGCACCATTACTAAAACCTATGTTACTACAAGGGGCATATAAAAGAGTAAGTGTAACCGCCCAAGGCCACTACTAGCAAATATTATCCGTTTTAGTCTGTTATGTATCGTCGTCAGCCTCATGGTTTTAAAACGCGTCTGTTAGGTTCCACACCCTTATAAGGGATACTTCGTTCCCTCTTCAAACGACGTTGGCCCTCACAACTCACCCCCCTTGGTGGCCCAGCATATCAGAGCCAGTCATCGGACAGTACGAGACACTGGTCAGAGTAAGATTAGACCCTCTCCATAGTAGGTGCGTTTTAAAACCGTGAGGCTGATAGTAATACGTAACAGGCCAAAATAGACAATATTCACAAGCGGTGGGCTTGGACGGTTACAACAATAGAGATTGTGTTACAACTTACATGGAATATAACTTGACCAGCAGCCACACCATTGTTAACTAATAAGTTGAATGAATCTGCATGATATAAGTTTGTCTTCATGTCAGTTGAAACTACTTGAAGCAACAAACATCCGACACAGATTAAAAAATAGGAAATAGATCAAATTAGACATGAACCAAGACTCTATCGTGGGTTTGTGCGGTTACATAAAAAGTGTTCGTAAAAGTCAACGCACAATACGACTATCGTAGATACGTTCCTAAGCATAAATAAATGCTCGAAATCTTGCACATTTCAGAACATTAACAGTTAACTGGGGACAAGATTGTATGTTTCTGTCTTTCAAACCAGAAACACGACCACATGAATTTCAAATTCAAACATGCCTGAATTCCCAACATGTGAAAAACCAAACATTTGAGAAACTGGAGAGAAGACAGAAACATAGAATGAAGCAAATAAATGTCGGTTCATACCGCTGCCGGTTGACTTCATGATTGCATTGCTAATTAATGGAACTTTTGAACACATTGCAGCTATCACCTGTTCAGTAAGTAGATAGAAGATAGACAAAATAAATACATAGATCATCAGAAAATCGACAAACAAATGAGAGAACCCGAATATATATATAAATATATTCAGAATCCAAGCTTGTTCAACCACACACGCCGCCTGCGCATGCATGTTCAATCGTCTGCGACACATCCGACTTGTCTCTACACTAAGCCAAGTCATTCGGCTCGACCTTGGCTTTGCTCGGGCCAAGGTCTCTCAACGCAACGTTGCATCTCATCTTGCCATCTCGATCCCCATCGACAGGGTCCATATGTCTTGACGCCATCCCGAGTCTCAGGATGTCGTCGGCCATCATAACTCGCTCGGTCATGCAATCGAGAATGGGCCCACGTGTCTTTCATCTCATTGGGACTTCCCGAACATCCATCCATCCGGGTTCTATCGAGCCATTGGCCCTCCTATGCCCATGCCGAGTCATTTATGGATACCGTACTAGATAGCGAGTTTATGTAGCAACCTCCAACACGCGGACTAGGGCGCAATACCGGCACACCCGTGCTGTCCGGTACTGTCCTTCAAAAACCCATTTCAAAGGAAGTCGCCCGAGACACTCGTCTCGGCCCACTCGCCCACACTGTGACACACGTATGTGCCACAGGGTAGCTCACACACGTATGTACAAAAACAAACATGCATATATATATACACATATATTGACAATTACTTTAGAACGTATAGCTTAAGTGGATGGTTACTTACAGAAGGAGGCGTAGCTTCCAACGAAGAATAATGAGATTTTGGTATAATTAGAGAGTGCCTGAGATATGGAAAATAAATAGAAGAGCCTTAAAGGGGATAACAATTCAAATCAACAAAGTTAGATTAGGAAGCCTAAAGTCACATTTAATAGGTCAACTATATAATGGCGCATCGCCACGGGATCTTGTATCCTAAACACATCCACGATACATCTACGGTTTAAAACTGTGGAATAGGACATAGACCTCGAGGGTTTCAAGCCGAGCTTGATTCAACGTAGTTTGCACGATTAAGGAAAAAGATTTTGAAGTATCCAAAAGATCTAAGATAATGATGAAGCTTTTCGGAGTGGATACAATAAAATATATAGGTCAAGTTAATTGTAACAACCCAAGCCCACCGCTAGTAGATATTGTCCGCTTTGGCCCGTTACGTATCATCGTCAGCCTCACGGTTTTAAAACGCGTATGCTAGGGAGAGGTTTTCACACCCATATAAGGAATGCTTCGTCCCCCTCTCCAACCAACGTGGGATCTCACAATCCACTCCCCTTGGGGCCCAACGTCCTCGCTAACACACTGCCCGGTGTCTAGCTCTAATACCAACTATAACAACCCAAACCCACTACTAATAGATATTGTCCGCTTTGGCCCCTTACGTATCGTCGTCAGCCTCATAGTTTTAAAACGTATCTACTAGGGAGAGGTTCCCACACCCTTATAAAGAATGCTTCGTCCCCTCTCCAACAAATGTGGGATCTCACAATCCACCCCCTTGGGGCCCAACGTCCTCGCTAGCACACCGCCCAATGTCTAACTTTAATATCAACGGTAACAACCCAAGTCCACCGTAGTAGATATTGTCCGCTTTGACCCGATAATATCACCGCTAGCCCCACGATTTTAAAATGTGTTGCTAGGGAGAGGTTTCCACACCCTTATAAAGAATGTTTCGTTCCCCTCTTCAACCAATGTGGGATATCACATAAATGCAATGATGTTAGCTACCTAGTGACATGCAACAATGAATAATCTTACCCGAGATAAAAGTGGTAGGCAGCTAACATCATTGCATAGAAGCTTTAAGTCATATTCAATGGTATCACGCAGATACATCATCAGACAAAATGAGTCTAAGCTAAACATAAGAACTATATACATATGTACTGCATCTTGGAGGAATGATACCTTACCCATTACTCAATGGTCTTGTATCTAATATACAAAGGCAACTATCATCTTCATAGAGCTGCAAGTTAAAATGTCATCTCTTAATGTTGGTTTCAAATATCCCATATATCTCACAAAGCAAACCTTAAACGATGACACGAAAATTGTAAATGAACAAAATAATTAGTACCTTAAAAGCGGGTTCCTCGCCGAGTATAATCCTGCAGAAAACACAACCATCTTGTAGACTCCCCTTGTGAGGATCATAAATTAGCTGCTGCTCACTCTTGGCTACTGAAGCACAGTTCGAAGAGGAAAGATGTGAGGGAGTTGCTCGACTACGTCCCGAGTTAATTGGACGGAGATGCGAACAGAGAATGGCAAGCCTCCGGGCCTCCATGGACTATCCAAAGCAGAAAGTATTGCAGTCAAATTGTGAATTGCCATAAGTATATAGTGTAACACATGTAGAGAATTTGATAAAAACAAACAGAGGCACTGAGAAAGTCTCCTTCAGCTGCAATCAGCTAGTGTTTTAAGTTCATTCCTCCAAGAAAACAGTCCTTAATGAAATCAAGACACGCTCTATTTAGTCATCTACTCATCACCTATACAACATGGAAATACCTCACTTCTGACTCTTATACATTTCGACCCGTTACCCCTAATTTGGATATGGAGCATTCGAAACTTCGAGCGTGTTTGAGAGTAATTTTGAAATGGATAAAATTATCTTACAACGAAGAAAATAAGAAGCCCCGTTTCAATTATTAAACGAAAACACTAAATTTAAGAGAATGGAGTGATGAATTGGTAGGAATTGCAAATGAAAGTTACCAAGTTACTAGATAGATACTAAATAACCATGTTGTTACCATATTCCGTATACTTTGATCATTTGAACAATTGTAACGGCCCAAGCTCACCGCTAGCACATATTGTCCTCTTTGGGCTTACCCTAAAGACTTTAAAAACGCGTCTGCTAGGGAGAGATTTTCACACCCTTATAAAGGGTGTTTCGTTCTCCTCCCCAACCGATGTGGGATCTTACAATCCATCCCCCTTTGGGGCCCAACGTCCTCGCTGGCACTTGTTCCTTTCTCTAATCGATGTGGGACCCCCACCAAATCCACCCCCTTTGAGACCCAGCGTCCTTATTGTCACACCGCCTCGTGTCTACCCCCCTTCGAGGCTCAACCTCCTCGCTGGCACATCACCTAGTGTCTGGCTCTGATACCATTTGTAACAGGTCAAGCCCACCGCTAGCAAACATTGTCCTTTTTGGGCTTTCCTTTTCGGGCTTCCCCTCAAGGCTTTAAAACGCGTTTGCTAGGAAGAGGTTTCCACACCCTTATAAAGGGTGTTTCGTTCTCTTCCCCAACCGATGTGGGATCTTACAATCCACCCCCTTTTGGAAAACAACGTCCTCACTGGCACTCGTTCCTTTCTCTAATCGATGTGGGACCCCCACCAAATCCACCCCCTTCGAGGCCCAGCATCCTTATTGGCACACCAACTCGTGTCTACCCCCCTTCGGGGCTCAGCCTCCTCGTTGGCACATCACCTAGTGTCTGGCTCTGATACCATTTGTAACGGCTCAAGTCCACCGCTAACAAATATTGTCTTCTTTGGGCTTTCCCTTTCGGGCTTCCCCTCAAGGCTTTAAAACACGTTTGCTAGGGAGAGGTTTCCACACCCTTATAAAGGGTGTTTCGTTCTCCTACCCAACCGATATGGGATCTTACAACAATATTCAACAAATTTACACTTCCCAACCCAAAAGTATTTCCAGATACTATTTCCAACCCACATGACCGTTGTTCTTTCTTTTTGTTTTTTAATCCTTTTCCACATCATTTTGTTCTATCCTGAGTTTAAATCCTATATTTGCCCCCTTTACTATCAGCTTTGTCTATTTAGTATCAGTACTTTCAAAACATCCATCTATGTCGGAACCTGTACCCTAAAAAAGTTCATTTGGTTTTTACACTTTTAAAACATGATTGTTTTGAAGTCCCTATTTGCAAAATCCTAACACAAGGAAGCCCGACAAGATTTCAAGAAATTGTCACATACTGCTGAATTCTAATTGAAAAAATGACATCAAAAGGAAACAAAGGACCAAAAACAGGACTTAAAACATTAATTCTTCTACTACCAGACCAAAATATTGGTTCCCTTCCTTTCTGCCAATGGACCCGAATCCAGAAAATCAAGTCAAAGCTTACATTTGCATCGTTTCAGAAGTTTAACCAAACCAAGCAAACTACAATATAATCCTTGCTAAAACAAAGCTGCAAGTTACAAGAACAGAGCATCTCATGAACAGCGCAAAAATTAGCACAAGGAATTGTGATTCACCTCTAGCTAGCTTCCCGGATTCTGCACCAAATCTTTCAGCTCTTTTTTCGTCTCGATCCTGTATCAATTAAAGAACCCCATATCCATCAGCAATTTGAAGCGAGACCCATTTGGCCACTGAGTGTTTGGAACCCAGATAGGAAATTTGGTTAAGTGAGCTAAAAAAGTAACTGGGTTAGAGAAGAGCAGAGGCGTGAGTGAGTGATAGCCGGTAGGGCTCAGTGGGGTGAAAGAAAGAGAGAAGGAAAGAAGTGGGGGGATGATGATTGAGGGAGTTTTGCAGAGTTTGATGGCGTTGGTTTTGCAGAGTTTGTGTCTGTGGGTGACAGAGAAGAAAAGAGATGAGATTCCAAAACGAATGGCTGCTCTCTAGTCTCTACGCTATGCCTTAGAGAGCCATTCTGGGTTGGACTTTGGATTATTGGGCCTAAAAATGCTTTCTTTAGAGAGAACAGAACAAATTTTATATGAAATTCACTAATAATACATTTTAATTAAATGATTCAAAAGAAAATTGTTGAGTTTAATATACTTGTATTCAAATTACTATTGAGAAAACAAAAAATGAGATCAAAATAAACAAAATCATCCCTTTTTAAAATGTTTGTAAAAAATAATGTATTAGGTAAATGAAATATTAAAAGAAATAACGTATTAGATAGATACATTGAATAATAGTTCGGATTGCTGCAAGTTCATCCGCTTCATTCAAATATTTAGTAAAAGATTAAAGTGTTATTGGTAAACTTACAAGCTAATGGCGCAATCAGTTTGCATAATCAAGAGTAAACGAAAAGGACAGAGAGGGTGAAGCCTTAGCTTGGTGAAGAGTCTCCCAGTTCCATGTACAAAGGGCTAACCAAACCAAAGCTGGAATTTCTTATTTTCAATCATCACTATAATTCAACTTCCCTACAAGGTTATGGTATAAAGAAAATACATATTTCCGGGGAAAGAATGAGTGGTAATTTACATGAAGAATAGGTATGGAAGTTGAAAAAATGGAGAGAATTAGGAAGCCTTCTAAGAAAAAGTAACTAAACCTCACATCTAATCAACAAGCCTCTAAGCTTTGTTTGCTGCTCATTAATTACCAGTGGATGTTGCACTGTTCCAAATATTGGTTGTTGAAGTCTATGTGTTTGATCCAAAACTCTTTGTATTCTCCAAATCCAACGTCTAACCATGGCTTCCTAACACCGTTGTAGTGTATAACAGCTGCCTTCTCGATGTCGTCTTGTGGCACGGTAGAGTCATGGCCGAGTCCGAGCACATGCCATTGTCGTTCCACCGCCGTTGTTTGGTTATAGAATGTGACCCACCCCAAAGGCAAGCTTCCACCCTTCAAGATTGGCCGTTCAGTACTCTGCATTCATTACATAGTAGCTGTGAGGAATGATAGTACTGTATGTGCATTTGAACATTATTTTCTATTTCTAAAACTATGGTTTGTAAACGAACTATAGCAGAGACTAAACCAACATTTTGATGCTGTTTATCTAAACTAAAGCAATTTAAATTATCATAGTTTTAAACTACTACAAGCGAAAAACATACTGTAAATTGAAATAACAAAGTATACAACTGTATTTGCACAAAAGGCTCTCCTCAACCACTTTCTTTTCCTTCCTCCCTAGCTGGGGCGTGTGCAGATTACATTTTCCTACAATGGTGCTTAATTTTGTTGAGTGAAAGCTTTTTCGATAAACTTTAGGAAAGAAGAGTTGGCAAGAATGAACATTGAATGAAGAAGAAATCGTGGCTATTGTCAAGTCCCTTGGTAATGATAAATCACCAGAACATATAGTCTCCATGGGAATTCTTACAAGCTTGGAACAAGTGCACATCCTTAAGGTGTTCTAAGAGTTATTTAGAACACTATACTCAATAAATGCCTAAAAGAAATTACATTTGGCCCGATCCTCAAAAGTATCCATCACTCGAACAGGTGATAACCATTTGTGCATTAGATTGAGGAATGGAGTCTAAAACAGTAAAACGTTCTCATGGAAACAATCCAAAAAAGTCCTCCAAATGACAATTTCAATTAACCAACATAGATATAAAAGTCTTTGATGCAGTTCTAATCACAAAGGAAGTGGTGGAAGAAAAGACAGAAAAGGGTGGGGTCATCAGACCTGTTTTTGAAAAGTCATATGCTAAATGTGGGTGGGTTTGTAACTTTTTTTTACGAAGTATTTGGAGGAAAAGGATTCAGACAAAAATAAAGGTGGTGGGCAAGAGGATGCATTACCACAGGTTAGTGAAATTTAACAATGAGAACTCCTTTTTTGGCAAGCAGAATCTTATGGTTTATCCCTAAGCGCTAGGGTTCTTGTCATCTCCCAGAGAAGCCCTTGGTTGGAGCACACTGGACTCAGCCTTCACTTCCTCCTTCAACCCACTCATGAAGTGACACTCCAAATGAGCTCTATCAACTTTGATAATGGAGCAGCAAACTGCTAAAAAAGGCAATGATACTCTTCGAAGGTGCTTTCTTGCTAGAGAGCTATGGATTTTTCACACAACATCACCTTTTGGGTTGGTCGAAAGTTTTTTGGCAACAAATAACGAAATTGTCCCAACATACGGTGCTTTCCTTCAATCTAGTCATGCAAAGACAATATCTCTCCTCCTAAGCAAAGCACGAAGCCTCCAGTTTTTCAGCTTATACTAACGGATTTAACACAAAATAATATTCCACCTAAGGCAACCAGCCATCAGGATTTGTTCCCTGAAAATTGGTTTCTCCAACTTCTTTAAACGAATGTCCTTTAGAAAGATTCTAGAGAAGTATATAATTAGGGAAAGATTCAAGAGTTCCTTTACTCTTCTAACTTCTAGCTAGCACATTAAATGAATCAAGCGTTCCCCTTACCATGATCCTCCTTGATCTTCTCCATTGGATACTTCTCCCGTGTGCCAAAATCCCTCCAACTTCTTAGCGAACTCCGACTCCATCTTACTATCAAGTAATCTATTCAACTCCTCACTTATCACAGCGAGCTCTTTCCCATTTGTACTTTAACAGCCACCATTGTTTCTTCGATGGACTTGCATCTATCTATCTGTTCATCTCTCTCTCTCTCTCTCTCTCTCTCTATCCACCATCTATCTATCTATCTATACACACACACACATACATATGTCTATGTATGTGTGCGTGTATATATATATTAATAGTGATCATTCCCGATAATTGAACAACTCCAATAACACTTGAGATGAAACCACATAGAGAAATATAGAATTAGGGAAGGATTCAAAAGTCCTCTTGCAGCATTACACTTCCAACTTCAAGCTAGACACTAAATGCATACCTCCCTTTGTTTTTTAAACAAGAAACAAATTTTCATTCATAGACGACAATAATGAAAAGAGCTAGAAAGATAAAAATTCCAAAGTTATAATAACCAATAAAGAACCTAGGAGAACAATGCGCTTAATTCCAGAAACAGAATTGCAAAACCAAAGAACCACTGAAGCGAAGACAAACCCACCAAAATGTAAAATTAGCATCTAGACCATAGCCCAAAAGACAAAACTTTGTTAGAAGAAGTACAGCCTAAAGTACACAAGTAGCTAGGAGACAAGGTAGACTCATTTAACGAAGCATTGCAAGCAGAAACACAAGTAAATGAAATATGAACTGAATCTAAAAAAATTGCAGCCTAAAATATCTGCAGAATGCTGGACAGGAAGATATGATAAGCACATTCTGATGATTATAAACTAGGTAGATAGTGACTGCTAATACACAAACACGCAAAAATAGTTGCCTCTCCAGGAAAAGTAGTAGCACGCAACCAAAGCAACTAATATCAATTTTCTTACCAATCGTAGATATTTATGGTAGAGAGCAGTTAAATTTTCTTCCCTCCACCGTCTGAGATCAAATACGTTCATCCCAAATGCCCACATACATGCCTTATTGTCAAACTTATCGGCAATCAGAGGATCTGAGAAGTTGATGAACGTATCCATCCGTAGAAAAGAAACTTCACTTTCTTTACAAGTTTCAACAGCAACATTCACCTTCCCCTTCATATCAACGTGCCACAAACCAGATAAATCCTTTTGCACCACCACATCATGATCAAGAAGTATGACCTTATCCAGGGAAGGGAAGATATTTGGCAGATAGAACCGCAGATAGTTGAGTTCGGAAGTAAACCTTGGGTCACTAGTATTTTGCATCGTCCATCCTAAATCATACTCCGTGGATAGCCATTTAAAGTCTTCCATGCTCAGGACCTCAATTGTGGCTTTTCCGGGAGGATTTAGTGAGAACCACATGGACATTGCTGGTAAGTTCAATGAATTGGTCACCAAGTGGAAGACAATTTTTTCCGGTTCCTGAAAATTTAAAACAGACAATTATACATGTTTTCAGAGAATAAAATGTCCCTAATAGCCACCACTATAAATCAGTGCGAAGAGACAAAATCCACACGATATACAACCTTGAGAATGCCCTAGTACAAATAAGAAATAGTATGTTTTAAGCTTTAAATTCTAATGTAGGTAAACAAAGTTGATTGCAATGCTCGAAGGGGAAAAAATAAAAGGTACATACCATAGCACTTGAAATAGTGGAATTGACAACAACTGCACAAGCCAAAACGTTGTCGGAGAATACAGCATAATGATACAATGTAGTGTCGTGCAACTTATTCTGTTCAGGAAGCAGCCTCTCCGAAGGTTGCAAAGCAAAGTACTCAGAAGTCAATTGCATTGATAGACAATGAAAGCCTTTAGGGGTGGTGCTTGCAGCAAGATTTAGAAGATAAGTAGCTTGTTTCTTTTGCATACGAACTTGCTCTTCAGCAGTTTCAGCCATAGCCCGAAGCTTTGAAGACATTGCCGAGCAGTCTGGGTAAGCATTGCCTGCTTTTACTAATGAAGACTCCATACTTTTCATTTTCTGCAAAGCACTACAAATTCGAAAGGTTTTCAGGTGAAATTCCACTAGTTGACATTAAAAAGCTGGATATAATTTTCCATACACAAGTGTAGCTAGTTGACATTAAAGCATCCTTCATAATTTTTTAACTTTCTTTCAAACTCTCCTAACAAAAATGTGAAAAATGGCAATGAAATTCCTATTTACCTCTTTGTCAATTCAGAATCCCTAGTAACTTCCTCAACTACGTGTTCCAAATCTTTGATTCGTAGCCTTAACTCTTTCATCAGATGAGAATTACTACCTGGTGGGGCAAAACTTAGGTAGGCTTTGGCTCTTATCAGTTGATCTATGATCTCCTTTACCTTATAATCTATAGATCTAGACTTGGCTGTGCGTACACTGTTATCGTGCTTGACAGTACTCCGATTAGATAGTGGATGTTTTGTCTCTATTTCCACATCTCTCAC